AATATGACTGAGTAGCTCTCACCTCTTATAGTCAAAGATATTTTTAAAAATATCTAGAAAGTCAAATTTATGGTTAAGCAATTTATTTAAAATCCCTTTTAAGGCTTTTCTTTGAAAGCTCAATTACTCAAATAAATTCTTAAAGCGTAAACCCCCTTTTTGCACATTCAAACCAAGCAAAGAACCAAAATAATTCTGCTCTCCACACACCCCAACCACATACTCACCAAACATAAAAATTCCTCAGCTTTTCTGCAGATCTACTTTTCATAATCTGCTATAAATCTGTTGTATTTTACTCCTTGTGAGAACTGGTTGAAGGTAAATAGGTAGTGAATGTAGTGAAAATTATGGGGAAACTAGTGGAAATAATAGAGTAAGGTTAAAAATTGAGTGTTTTTCTAAAAAAATTTAAAGCTGTAATTAACAAAAATTTATAGCTGACAATCAACTTTCCTCACATAAGCAGTCTGTTAAATTCCAGTCAGCAGGATGAATGAACTATTTCTCCAATTTTTCTTCTGCTTTTTGCTTTTTGTCTGAATTTACCTGAGAGATGTCAGACAGCATTACATCTTACCTTGTGAAAAACTTAGCGCATGGCATCTGCACTGGCAGAATTAGAGCAGAGTAAGAGTGTGGTGGGAAGAAATTAAAAATAAAAATTAGATTGTTCACCTAGTTTTTGAGATTTGCATATTGCACATTGTGGGTCCAAATGTTCTCTTACCAGAGACAGGGAGGAATGTGTATGTAGAGACTCCACTGTGTTGGAATGAACAATAATTAAAATTTATGCATCACTTTAACCCAGGAATTGTCCCACCCCCACCCTTACCCCCCTCCCCCAAACACCATTCCACAAAGACACGTTCTCAGAGAACTGAAACTGCTGAACCAGGGGCATTTTGAAACTTTCCAATCCTTCCTTTCTGCTCAATCTCTGATGGGGGTGCCAGTTAGAAGCAAAACAAGACAAAAGGTGGCTCTCTAAAGGACCAGGGAGAGGACAGAGGAGAAATAGAGTAAATAAAAGCAAAGGACTTAGTTGATGATGAAGCTGTGCCTGCAGCTAAACTCAACCCTTAAAACAAATTGAACTTTTAAAATATCATTCTGACTCCTAAAGTGCTGAATGTAACACAATTTTTTTAAAAGATTTATTTATTTCTTCATACAAGAGCTGGGGTACAGGCCAAAGGTGCCGGGAGGTAGAGGATCCACCAGCACCGAGTGGGGAACAGAACAGGCAGACTGACTGAAATATACTGCTGAGGGGAGCAGCGGGCGAGACAGGAGAGGTCTGCTGCACCCTGGCCAGGGATCGAACTCATGCTGCGGGAGTCTGCAGATAGCTTCATAGTGCAGTGCTTAGCCCCTTGTGCCACCAGGGAGGCCCCATAGTTATTTTTTTAGTACTAATTTTATTTTATTTTTTTAAAGACTTATTTATTTATTTATACAAGAACTGGGGTACAAACCAGATGTGCAGGAGGGTGAGAGGATTCACCAGAGACAGAACGGGGAACAGAACAGGCAGACTGAGGAAATACACTGCTGAGGGAAGCAGTGGGCACAACATGAGAGGTCTGCCTCGCCATGTGGGACCCTCATTGGCTGACCGGGATCGAACCGGTGCTGAAGAGGCTGCGGACAGCTTCACAGTGTGGCACTCAACTACCTGCGCCACCAGGGGAGGCCCAGTCCTAATTTTAGAAATAATTTCCAGATAACCCTAGGGACAGTGGCAGTGAATTACTAGCCAGAGTTGGTGATGAGCTAGTTGAATCTATAGATTCCTGAGAACTGGGAATATGTTTCCAGGTACAAAAGCTGAGTCAGAGCCTGGTTTAAATGGGTTCCCCCCCCTCCAACCCTCCACCTCAGCACCTGCAAAGGATCATACATAATAGACAAAAAGAGATTTTGATAATGAATCCAATTATGTTGTCCCCCTATTTAAAATCCTGCAATGGCTTCCCATTCCTTACCAGGGTTTGCTACTGGAAAGGGCTTCCCATTCCCTCTTTGACTCACTGCTAAATATTCCCCACTTGTTCTCATTGCTGCAGCCACACCTGTCTTCTTCCTAGTGCTTTTGCACTAGGAAGTCTCTGTTCCCTCCAGGTAGACTCTTTTCACCAAGATCTCTGCATGCTGGCCCCTTCTAGTGGTTTTGGTTTCAGCAAAAATGTTCTGGAGAGGCCTTCTCACTCCCAACCCCAGCCAAAGTTAGACACACAAGTGTGCGTGCACTCACACTCACACACACACACCTTCCATTAAATTTAATTTCCTAATAACAATGATCACTCCCCAATGGGTCCCTATTTACTTCCTGAGCCCAGTGCTTGGCCCATTTCAGGCTGACTTAGCGCCTGTGGCTATTATCAAAGAACCAGGCCTCTGAAGTCTCACCATATGTTCTTCCTCCTTCTCTCTTCCTACTGCCTTTTCCAGAAACAGAATTGTGCTAGCTCTCATGCCTGCCCTTGTGCTTGGGATCTGGTTAATCAAACATAGTCTCTTATTTGGCTGTTAGAACATTGAAAGAAAATGGATTTTTGGACTATGTTAATTCCAATGTAGCAGTATTAACTTATTTTTTATTCTCTTAACTATTCCAAATAGAAAAAATCAAAAGTTGATTTTTCATATTAAAAACATAGTTTGAGCAGCTCCTTGTCCATGGTTTGGTTGCACGATGCCCAGGTAACTAGGGTCCTGTGCTTGACTTAGGCCCACTGTCACTAGTTTAATCTTAACCCAAAGCATGTAGCTCTGAGTTGGTATGCATCTCAGCAGGAGGTTAATTATTATAAAAACAAAAAAAAGGGGGGGGGGTGGGCTTACCATTTGTGCTTCCTGGGACTGAAATGAAAGTGTTCACAGGGCTTTGACCCAGGGACCGGGTATCCCTGAAACTGGGTCTCATGTCCTGCCAGCTTGTCTCTAGGGAGGCGTGAGACAGTAACTTTCAGAACCTCTGTTTCCTCTCTGGTATAATGGGACTCCTTATTATTCATTGAGCTATTGGGAGAATGAAATGAGCTAATGGCACATGGTAAGTGCTGCAAAAATATTAGCAATTGTTACCAATGGTTCCCCTCCATTCTTTTGAACTCAAATTCTGAAATCATTTTTTCCTAGAAAAAAGGTGTTGGGGGGCTTCTTTTTTCATTGAAATGAAAATTGCAATTTGAAATAGGATGGAAGTATTGTGAACCACTCCCCACTGTTTGGAGCACTTACGTTAAGGGGACATGGCTGTTTCTCCTAATGCACGGAATTCTTTGCAGCTTTTAGGATTTTGTCTCCTGATTGTTTTGCTACCAAAACCCACACTTACCCTATGTCAGATGAGGAAGGACCTGCTCTGGCTGCCACTGCCCCCCCCATGAACCCCTTATTGCCTTCACTGTTAAACTCAGACTTACTATACTTACAGGAATAGCTTCCTGTCATGTGCCACTCAGGAAGGTATAAAAATGAAGTCCAATTCCTGCTCAACTTTTCCCACAGAACTCTACTCTGAAGTGGGTGTGGTTTTATTTTGTTTTTGTATTTACTTTGTTTGGGGTTTTTTGAGCATAAACATCCAGATAATTCCTTTCCTTTTCTTTTTTTTTTTTAACCAGCTAAAGCCAGGTTTTACAAATGAAGTGTTTTGCCTGCAGTGGAAAGAAAAAGAGATTTTCTTTCTTAGATTGAACTCTGTGTACTTGTCTGAGAGGGGTGTGTGTGTGTGTGTACGCAGGATAGTCCTGTATATACAAATGGAGCCCTAGTACCTAGTAAACTCCTGGCTTCCAGATACTTTCTGCTTAGTGACAGATGTAAGCCAGCTCCCAGGTACCCTGGGGGAAGCCCTAGGACATTTGCTAACCCCTGACCTAAAGATAACCTATTTCCTCTTTTCACCCCTTCCTACTTCAGGTTCTCCTGCCTCCGAATAAATTGCTGAAATTGCAGGCTAGCAGGGGTTGAAAATTCCATTAAGGACCTGTGGGTCCTTCTTAGGAGTAAGAAAACTTGCTGAGAATACCTGCCCATCCATTATTTTCTCCCTCATAGGTCTTAGTTTCGTTGGCTATTGAACTGTATGGAAAATTCTTAAGACAAGGGAGGGTGCGGTGTCTTCCCCAGTTGCCCCCAACAGTGCCGCAAGCAGAGGGGCAGCCCTGTCCTCCCTATCACTGTGTCACCCCCACTCTTGAGTTTTCTGTTAGGGATCAGGATCCAGTGGGCATGGCCCACTGAACTACTGATGATTTTAGTAGGAATTTAGATAACCTTTATTTCTAGTTGACCTTCAGGAGTTGAGTTATAAGTGTGAGGTACCCGTGTTTTAAAATGATGAAGGAAGAATGCGGAATATATCTTACAAATCTCTTCAAGAAACCTAAACTCAATTTAAAGCATTTTATTTCATCCTTTTACCCTTTTCATCTATCGTCAAGTGCTTCTTTTGCTTAAAATTTAGATGGATTTTCCCTGAGTCCTGGTTGTGGCAGGGGAGTGGGTGCAATAAAGCAGAAGGGGAGGGGTGGTGGAGAGAGAGAAAGAGAGAAAAGGGGCAGGTTGAGATGTTGACTTTATGTTTGGGCCAAGATCACATATGAGAAGTTTTACAACAAAACCTAAAAATAGGGCCTCCCCAGTGGCGCAGCAGTTGAGCGCTGGGTTGCGAAGCTGCCCGCAGCCTCTGTGGCGCCGGTTCGATCCCCGGCTGCTCCCCGGCCACCGGAGGAGGGTCCCACATGGCGTGCAGACCTCTCCTGCCGCCCGGTCCTTCTGCCTGTTCTGCTCCCCGCTCTGGCTCTGGTGAATTCTCTCGCCCTCCCGCGCTTCTGACTGTACCCAGTGCATGTATAAGCAAAACAAACCAACAAACAAATAAATAAATAAAAACATGCCTTTATTAAAAAAAAAAAAAAAAAAAAAAAAACCTAAAAATATTTGAGATCCATGCTTAGAGAAAATCCATTTTATTTCATAATCTTAATGCACAGATTTTTTTGTGGCAGTAAATTTTATGCTTTATGTTTCTCTGTGTATTCGTTGTTAGCAGTGTCTTCTAGATATTTCTCAGCAGGTCCCTTCAGAAGTGCTGTTTAGCATTTGGGGAGCCAGCCAAGACCCAGGCAAGCTGAGACCATCAAGGGGTTAGTGCCCTGCCCTAGCTCACTCTGGGACGGCCCCATCCTCAGGAAGTAGGTCTCAGATTGATCCTTGACAATCAAGCAGGTAGATGGCTTCTAACAGATTCTTCTTTGGTTATTTGGGTGTTTTTGTTGTTGTTGTTTTTTGTATGTGTTTGTGTGTTGGCGGGGGGATCCAGTTACCTCAGCTTTCAGGGACAGTAAACATCTTAGACTTTGCCTTAGCTGTGGTCTTTCCTCTCATTAGACACACAAAGGAAAGCTTTGTTTATTTTGGAGAAAGGATTGTTTTGCTATTTTAAGGCTTAGGGCTTGTTAAAGCTACTAATAGTAGACTGGCCTCATTATGGGTTTTGAAAATGATCTTTTTCACAAGTACGAACAGGCTGTCTTTGTGGAAAATATTAGAACATAGATTCAGACTCCCTGAAAGTAGTTTTCTGTCAGGACACTGCTTAGTGAATGCACAGTGAGGTGATAAATATTCATGACTCCCGAGCCGGCCTGTTTTAGGAGCTGGGTTTCCACTTGCTGCCTTTCCGTGGCTGGTTGCCTCCACACAGGAAGTAAAACCAGCCTTTATGCCTTTCTACAATTCTGGCACATGATTTGAAGATTTGTTGATGAAAACAATGTTCTTTAAAAGTCTTGGAGCAAAGGAAAAAAGGAGACTCATTAGATTGAGCATAATAGCTAAAGGATTAGTTGAAAAAACAACCACTTTGGGAGTTCAAAGATGTAAATTCTCATCCCAGTTTTGATATTAACGTTCAGGGGCACCTGGGGTGTAGTACTTTACCTTTTGGAAACTCCAAATATCTTTTGGCCAAGTGACCAGGACAGATAGGTGATTCTGGGACTCCTGCACAGAAAATGGATTCCTTCTGAAGGGAGAGGAGGGCTGGGACACTTTAAATGTGGTTCCAACCAGACTACCTCAGCAGGAGTGTGACCCTCACCCCCACCCCTAGCCCTGAGGTTGGAGGTGGGGGCAGGGCAGAATGTTCTAACTCTCTAATCCCATTGTTTGGATCTTCCAGAGATCTTTTCCTATCTCGGGGCAACCTAGGAGTCCTACCCTAAGACATCTCTAAGCATAGATTCAGGTGTGTTCCACAGGAGCTCATCACAAATAACAAATTGCACTTCTATCATTAAGGAAATTCTGAGTTTTAGGAACTCTGCCCTAGAAAAAGAACAAAGACCAAATATATGTATTTTTATTATATGCCACAATCCATGTATCAGTTTGAAGAGAATTGATATCTTTTACATTGTTGAGTTTTCCAATTTATGAACATTGAATTTCCCCCCATTTATTTAGATATTCCTTCATTTCTCTTAGTGCTTTGGCTTTGGAATTTTCAGATTGAGCCTTGCAAAATTTATACCTAAGTATGCCATTATTTGTAAGTGATTATAAATGTTACTATATTTTAAACCAATTTTTTTTTTTTTAATAGAGGCATGTTTTGTTTATTTATTTATTTGTTTGTCTATTTGCCTGCTTGTTTATACATGCACTGGGTACAGTCAGAAGCGCGGGAGGGTGAGAGAATTCACCAGAGCCAGAGCGGGGAGCAGAGCAGGCAGAAGCGAAGTACACTGCTGAGGGGAGCAGCGGGCGGCAGGAGAGGTCTGCGCCATGTGGGACCCTCCTCCAGTGGTCGGGGAGCAGCCGGGGATCGAACCGGCGCTGCAGAGGCCACGGGCAGCTTCGCAACCCAGCGCTCAACCGCTGCGCCACCGGGGAGGCCCATGTTACTATATTTTAAATTTTTTTTTTTTTTTAAATATTAAATTTTATTTTTATATTCCCCCATACAATTGCAAACGCCCCATTCTGACCCCAATCCTTCCCCTCCCGCCCCCCCACCCCCAAAAAGTGTCTCTGGTTCATAGTTTTTTGTTGATTTTGATTTTCACTTTCTTATATTCATTTTCCTGGTCCCTTATTTAAGTTTTCTAGATTCCTGCTATGAGTGAGGCCATCCGGTATTTTTCTTTTTCTTTTTGGCTTATTTCGCTGAGCATGATCCCTTCCAGCGCCATCCATGTTGCTGCAAATTGCATGTGTTTATCTTTTTTGAATGCTGAGTAATATTCCATGGTATATATGTACCACATCTTCTTGATCCAGTCATCTATTTTTAGGCATTTGGGTTGTTTCCAAAGCTTAGCTATTGTAAACAGTGCTGCTATAAACATAGGAGTGCAGGTGCTCTTGGAATTGATGTTTCTGTGTCCTTTGGGTAAATACCTAGGAGTGGAATTGCTGGATCATATGGAAGCTCTATGTTTAGTAGGTCAAGAAATCTCCACACAGCTCTCCATAGTGGTTGGACCAGTTTGCACTCCCACCAACAGTGCACAAGAGTTCCTTTTTCTCCACATCCTCGCCAACATTTGTTGTTGCTAGTTTTTTTAATATGTGCCATTCTCACTGGTGTGAGATGGTATCTCATGGTAGTTTTGATTTGCATTTCCCTGATTACAAGTGATGTTGAACATTTTTTCATATGCCTGTTGGCCATTTGCATTTCCTCTTCAGAGGAAAACTTCTCTTCAGAGAAGTTTCTTTTTAGCTCTTCTGCCCATTTTTTGACTGGATTATTTTCTTTGTTGTTGCTGAGTCTCATCAGCTCTTTGCAGATTTTTGTGATCAGTCCTTTATCATTAGTGTTGGGTGCAAAAATGTTCTCCCAGTTGGTGGGGTTTCTCTTTGTTTTTGTTATTGTCTCTTTTGCTGTGCAGAAGCTCTTTAATTTGATGTAGTCCCAGCTGTTTATCTTTCTCTTCACTATCACTGCTTTGGGTGATGTGTCTGTAAAGATGTCTTTGATGTGCAAATCCCATAGTGTTTCGCCTATATTTCCTTCTATGTATTTTATGGTTTCAGGTCTTATGTCTAGTTCTTTAATCCATTTTGAGTTGATTTTTGTGTATGGTGTGAGGTAGTGGTCAAGCTTCATTCTTTTGCATGTAGCGACCCAGTTTTCCCAGCACCATTTATTGAACAAACTTTCTTTGCTCCAATGCATAGTCTTCGCTCCTTTGTCAAAGATTAGTTGACCATAAATCTGTGGGTTTATTTCTGGATTTTCTATTCGATTCCATTGGTCTGTATGTCTGTTCTTGTTCCAATACCATGCAGTTTTGATGATTATGGCTTTGTAGTATAGTTTGAAGTCTGGGAGTGTGATGCCTCCATTTCCTTCTTTTTTTTCAGTAGAACTTTGGCTATTCGGGGTTTTTGGTGATTCCATATGAATTTCATCAATAATTGTTCTATTTCTTTGAAGAATGCCATTGAGATTTTGATTGGAATAGCATTGAATCTGTATATTGCTTTTGGTAGGATGGCCATTTTAATAATGTTTATTCTTCCAATCCATGAGCAGGGGATGTCTTTCCATTTCTTTGTGTCTTCTTCTATTTCTTTTAACATATATTTTAAATTTTGATCTCTGTATGCTCATTGTTTAATTAGTAGAAGTAAAACAATTTTGTGTATTTACCTTGTATTCTGTAATTTCTATAACATCATTTAATAGTTCTAAGAAATTTTTTGTAGATTCCATGTGATTTCCTGTATACATAAGCCTATCTGTAAATAGTGGCCATTTTATTTCTTCCTTTTTGATGCCTATTATTTCTTTTTATTACTTTATTAGGTTGGCTAGAACTTTCAGTACTGTTAAGATTGGGGAAAATAGAAACCCTTGCTTTTTCCCACTCTAAAGGGGAAAGAATTCAGTTCTCATAAAACGCAATGAGAGCTGTTGGGGTATTATATATGCTTTTTAGCAAGTTGAAGAAATTCTTCTCTCTTCCTATTTTTCTTAAGAGTTTATTAGTTTTTAAACCATGGATGGGTGTTGAAGGTTGCTAAATTGTAACAGGGTGGTCCCCAGGAAAGGGGGAGATTGCAGGTTTCCTGCCCCACCAAAGGGAGGGTGGAGCTGAGCAGGGAGAGAAGAAGCTGCAGAGGAGACTGAGGAAGGAAGCAGGATGGAGCCAGAAGAGACTTGGAGGAGGCACATGGAGCCTAGAGACACGTGAAGAAACTGCGCTTGTCTTTTGGTCGTGGACGGGGTGACACAGATGTGGGTGAGACCCGTGGGGAAGTGACAATGGCAGCTTTTATCTTGATTTTTATTTTGCTCTTTTCCTTCCGGGTTTGTCTGGTTGTTTCTGACCCTTTTCTGTGGGTCCCCACTGGAAGATGCTTTAGACTTGTGGCAGGCTTTGGGGCCTTGCTCTGGGCCAATCCCATTTGGATGGAATTTTACCCACAAGGGGATGGGTAACTTTGGGTGATTGATTTAGAAACTAAATTCTTTGCCTTTCCTGTATTGTTTCCTAATTGTATTAAAGTTCCTTCCCATTAAAATCTCATGTTTTTTGTTAATGCGGTAGATGGCAGAACCCTATATAGAATAGGCAGGTTTGTGGGGTTTGGGTTGCTCCTCTCCCTGCCCTGTAGCAAAATGACTGATATAAATATGTGATTTTTCTTTTGCTTGTTCATATGGTGCATGACATTGATTTTCATATATTGAACCAACCAATAAATTCCACTTGGTCATGGCATATAATTTTATATATATATATATAGTTGAATTAAATTTCCAATGATTAGGTGAGGGTTTTTTTAATTCTTTTTTCTTTTTCATCAATACTCATGAAGGATCTTGATCAATGCTTTCTTTTTCTATACCATGTTTGTGTGGTTTTGGTATCAGGGAAATACTAGTTTCATAAAATATATTGGGAAACACCTAGTTCCTGAAAGAGATTATGTAGTCAGTATTAATTCTTCTTTAAACATTAGGGATAATTCTCCAGTAAAATCATTTGAGGCTGGAAGTTTGTTTCTTGGGAGTTCTTTAAATTATGAACTCAATTTCCCTAATAATTATAGGGCTATCGAAATTCTCTATTTCATACTGGGTCAGTTTGGGGCTTTTGAAGAATTTGTTCATTTTCTGTATGTTGTCAGACTTGTGTATAGAGTTGTTCATAGTATTTAATTGTTATTGTTTTGATGGCTACAAGGCCTATAGTGATACTCTCTGTTTCATTTCTGGTGGTAGTATTTTGTGTTTTCTCCTTTCTTCTCTGTCAGCCTTGCTAGAGATTCCTCAATTTTATCAATCTTTTCAAATAACTAGCACTTTTTTCCATTGATTTTCTCTATTGTTTTTCTCTTTTTCAATTTCATTTCTCACATTTATCATTTTCTCCCTTCTGCTTGTTTTCCTCTTCTTTTTCTATGTTTTGAGTTTAGATTTGAGATTTTATCTATCTTCCAAGGTATGCATTTAATACTATATGCATACCCTTTAGGACTGTATAAGATGTCTCACAGATTTTGTTATGTTGTATTTTCATTTTTATTTTTTATTCAGTTTTATTCATTTTCATTTGTATTCTGTTAACTGGTTATTTTATTTTCCCTGAGACTTCCTCTTTGAGTTGTAGTTTACTTAGAAGTTAGCTTGCAGGTATTTAGACTATTTTCTTATATCTTTCTGATACTAATTTCTAACTACTCTCAATGTTGTCAGAAAACACAAACTATATGATTTCAGTTCTTTTAAATTTATTAAGATTTGTTTTATACCCAGGATATGGTTTATTTTGGTTTACATGCCATCGTCATTTGGAAAGAATGTGTATTCTGTTGTTGGGTGGAGTGTTCTATAAATGTAGTCTAGATTTTTTTCATTGGCAGTGTCATTGAATTCTATATTCTTGCTTATTTTCTACTAAATTCTTTGATCAATTGAGAGAGAGATGTTGAATCTCCAACTGTAGTTGTTGATTTATTTCTCCTTTCAGTTTTATCACATTGTTTCACAAATTTTGTAACATTTTGCTTTGGTGAATATTCATTTAAGGCTACTCTGTTTTTTTGGCAGAATGGCTGTGTTATCAATATATAATGTGGCTTTCTCTCTCTGGTGATTGCTTTGAAGTGTACTTTATCTTATATTAATATAGTCATTCTCTTATCTTTTGATAAAGGTTGCATGTTATATATTTTCTAATCCTTGATTTTATCATTATATTTGGAGTGAATTTCATATATACAGCAGATAGTTGAGACATTTTTTATTATCTTATTTTATTTTATTTTTTTTAAGATTTATTTATTTATTTATACAAGCACCGGGTACAGTCAGAAGCATAGGAGGGTGAGAGAAATCACCAGAGCCAGTGCGCGGAACAGAACAGGCAGACTAACGAAACACACTGCTCAGGGGAGCAGTGGGCACGGCAGGAGAGGTCTCTCACACCATATGGGACCCTCGCTGGTGGCCAGGGATCGAACGGGTGCTTCAGAGGCTGCAGGCAGCTTCGCAGACCAGTGCTCAACCGCTGTGCCACCAGGGGAGGCTCCAACAGTTGGGTCATTTTTGAAAGGTCCACTAAATTTACTTGTCAAATCATAAAATGTTTCTTTCAAAAGAAGATTATATTCTACACCCTGCTCTGAATAGATACAAGCAACTTGCAGATGATTGTTACTCTCTTTCCCTATTTGACCCACCCCCAAATATTACATAACCATAAAGCAAGTTGTTCACAATAATTACTTGGGGGCAATTTTTCTTTTTAGCCACCAACAATAAAACAAACTAAAACTCACCGTCTTGTCCTGTTTCAAAATTTCAATACTAGTTTTGCATCCCACTCCCCCTACCACACCCTCACTACACAGTGTTTGTAAAGAACTATACAGCATTATATCTGGTGAATAGCCAAGATTTCACTACACCTCAAATTCAGAATACCTATGTGAAGCAGAGGAATGTTGTTATTTTAAACAGAAGCAGGTTTTTAAAAATTAGATGCAGAACTTCAGTTCTTCATTAGTTTTAGAAAAACTTTCCAGACTACTGCTTCGCATTATTCTGCAGCAAAGAATGTATTTTCCGTGTCTGGTCTTTGTTTCTGCAATGGCAATGATTCAGTCTTCTAACTCTTCTAAAGACTTAATCATCTTTGATTGAAGCTACTGATTCATGATGGATTTGTTTAATCTTTTGACCACCTTTGCCATTAATAGATCCAACCAAATCTTTGGAAATAGTTACTTGTGTAGTAATAATAGGTTCACAAAGATCACCAAGTTGGATCATGCTTTTTAATCAACTCTGCCAATTTCTGTCTTTTAAGAGATCATTTACATTTAATCTAAGTATTGACGTATTAAGTCTTAATGTTTTACCAATTCAAGAGAATAATAAAACTCCTGCCTCCTTTTAAATCCCTTACCTTCCCCATTTAAAACATAACTATCTTAAATGTATCCTTTTCATATATATGGCTACATCAGACAGTGTTACACTTTTTCTTCATAATTTAGAAAACTCAAGAAGAGGAAAGTCTATTGCACTGCCTGATAATCTGCTTAGGAAGTTGGGATATTATATTACGAGCCTCTGGATCTTATTTAAATCTTTCATTCTGTCTGGTTTCTTCTGAACAGCTCTGGGAGAGGAATAGAATATATTGCCTCTTTACTGCCTGGTCAGTACAGAATTCTAGGTTTCCCCTTCAGCCTCCATTGATAACTTATTAAGGATGGTCAGAAGTGGGGCTGGAATTCTTACTGCCACTTAGGTCTGCGCTGGTATCCCCCTGGTTGGAGGTTATAGTACCTTACTACTTTCCACTTTACTACATCATTGTCAGTGGGAGGGACAGGGAAAAGTGCATCTTCTGTTTTTGGAGGGAATTCTTTGCCCTTTGTCACTTAGAAGAAACTTTGACAAACTATTCTTGCTTAGGTGTTTGGTCTTCCAGGGATGTCATAGTTTTAAAGGAAATCATCTTTTTCCTTACAAGAAAGACTTCACTAACAGGATTTCAGGTGTTGTTGGGCTGGAGCATATGTGTTGGGGATGGTATGATGGAGGAATTAAACTCAGCGACTGAGTCTCTCCTGGGTCTTGTGAAAGATGCATCAACAACCCAAGCCTAACCCAGACACTGGCGGGGTTGGGGAGCAAGGGTTGGGGGGTGGGGCAGGGAAGCTGCTTCATGACCCTGGCCAGAAAATGTTCCTGCAGTCTTTCTGTGACACTTGGTGTGCTGCCAAGAGGGAAAGAGAAGAAAAACCCTTGGTTAAGTAAACATATATTCATATTTCACTGCAAGAGGTTGAAATGGTCTAAGTCAGTATAATCAGTTCCATATGTTTGGCATTGATAGTCCAGGCATGACTAGTTGCACCTTTGAAACAAGATGGATCAGATGTTTCATGTTATGAAAATCATAACTGCCATTTATTGCATGTCTGTACATGCCAGGCACTGTGCACAGTGATTTACATGCAATAATTTAATCTTATCTCTGAAAGAAGTGGGAGTTATCATTTAACTGCACAGATAAAGGAGACTGCATCTCAGATGGACCAGTGATTTGCCTAAGGTCATCAGGCCTCTGAATGAGTTGGGGTTAAACCTTGTCCCCTTGACTCTGGAGTTCTTGTTCTTACCATGCTCCCAAGCCATACACTTTTAAACCTGGGTCTTTTGTGTGGGATTCTTTGCCTGGGTCTTCAGCAACCTCTTCACCCAAAGTGATCTGGGCTACTGGAGCCATTCACTAGAGGAGGCTGCACATTAAAATAACTAGAAAAGATTTTATTTATTTATTTAGTAGCTTTATTTATTAGAGGAGATTTTAAAAATATCCCAATGCCCAAGCTACATAAACTCAAGCTCTGGGTGATACCAGAACATGGAGAACTTTAAAAATCTTCCCTGAGATTCTGATGTTCTGTTAGGTTTGAAAGCATAAGAGAGAGGGCCTCCCCTGGTGGCACAGTTGGTTGAGCACAGCACTGTGAAGCTGTCCACAGCCTCTGCAGCGCCGGTTCGATCCCGGCCAGCCCGCGAGGGTCCCACATGGCGCGGCAGACCTCTCCTGTCGCGCCCGCTGCTCCCCTCAGCAGTGTATTTCATCAGTCTGCCTGTTCTGTTCCCCTCTCTGTCTCTGGTGAATCCTCTCACCCTCCAGCACATGTACCCTGGTTCTAGTATAAATAAAAAAAATAAATCTTTAAAAAAAAAAAAAAAAAAAGAAAGCGTAACAGAGAGTTGGAAAAGGATGAAGTGCCCCAGTCACATTCTGGAATTCTCTTTTCTGATTGCATTGGTGCCCCATACAGAAAGGATCTGAGTGGGGGAAGAGGTCACAGTCTGCATGGAAAGTTGGTTTTGCAAGGCAGTTCTACCAAGAAAAAGTCTAATACACAAGTCAAAAATTGAAGTATGACTGGAAGGGATCATGAGGTTATCTAAAGCCTTTTGAGGCCTCTGAGGCTTACAGTGCTTAAGTGTATGCATGTGGCTCGGCTTTTGGGGACCAGAGGAAATGGGGAGGTCACGTTAATTTTCATTGTTTGCTCAGAGGTCCAAGTCCCTTCACACTCTCCAGGTGAAGGTTCAGAGAAGTTGCATGACTTGCTTGTTGTCCTGGGGTCCCTGTTTACCCTTTCAAACCCATTCTTCACCCCAGGAGTCCAGCCTGTGGGGAGGGTAACAATGAAGTGCCTGGTGCTCCTGGCTCTGACTAAATGGTCTATTTTGGTTAAATAATACAAAGTGTATCATTGACTAAGTGTATTGTACATATTCATGCATTTCCATTATTTATCAAATGTAACGGGGGTATCCTGTTTTTTTATTTGGAAACCCTATGTCCACCGGGCATGTATGGAAATCTGGCCTGCCAACACCACAGACATCTCAGTGGGTTTTCTCCGGTGCCCACATCTTTCTTCTGTTACCCAGAAGCTGTCCCCCTCCAAGTGGAGGCACCTACCACTGGCCTTCCTTTCCCTCAAGCCTGTGCCAGGGTCAGCTACATGCTTTCTGCTGCAGGTTTTTGTTACACTTGGTGCAGATGAGAGCCCAGGAATTACTTTCATCCCAGGAATGACTTTTTTCCCCCTATTTAGCATTTTCAAGTTGTAGAGGCATTCACTTCAGTAAAGTTAATGTTTACCACTTGCAACTTGGGGTTAATCAAATAAGTGATTTCAGGGTGAAGTTTGGTTTATTTCCAAATATTATTGCTACTCTTAATCCATGGTGAATCCTTCCAGTTTGCATAAAGTTAAACAATATTAGACAGACAGTTTTTGTTTGTTCTGGATTTGGCCTCAGATAGCTGTGGGAAGGAGGGAGAATCCCTAACCTGAGTGACTGGGAAGCTGCTCAGGGGACTTAATTCAAATATCAACCTTGGGGGTTAGTAATACATGGAATAGGGATGAGCAGTGGTCCAGATCTAACCCTTTCTGCTGGAGGAGGCATCAGGCATGGCTGTAGGGTAAGAAGACAGGGGCACATATGGGCTCCTGGACGCCAAAAACTTTTCTGTGAACCCCAAACCCACCCCAGAAGGGGAACCTTTTTCCAACCAACCTTGGGGGCAGGGGTGGGGGGAGCTGCCTGATAGCAAATTTCGGCAAGCAACAAGGCTGGAAAAGAAATCTTAGGGTGAAGTGTATCCTACCTCATCCCCACTTTGGCTGTGAGGAAGGGAAGCAAAGCACTCCTAAGAGTCCAAGATTTAGTCCTCATTCTTGCAACCTCTTCTGGGTCTCCGATTCTGAAGCTGAACATCAGAGCTCAGCTGATCCATTTGTCAGTTCTGTTGCTTGAGAAAGAGTAGAAAGAGATGGGCAGTGGATCCCACAGGCTGGCACTCAGCCCTGCTCTTATTCCACCATTCTGGCCAAGGGGCTTCCCCTCTCCCTTCCCAGAGACTCAGGATTGTAAAACAGGCTGATAGCACATAACACCCAAGGGGTGGGACTGAATTAAACAGGGTTCACCGGGCCTCTCTGGTAGTTCAAGTGGTTAGGCACAGCACTGTGAAGCTATCTGCAGCCTCTGCAGCATGAGTTTGATCCTCAACCGGCCAAGGAGCAATGCACATGGCGTGGCAGACCTCTCCTGTCTCTCCCACTGCTCCCACAGCAGTGTATTTCAGTCAGTCTGCCTGTTCTGCTCCCCACTCTGTCTCTGGTGAATCCTCTCACCCCCCCATACCTCTGGCCTGTACCCCAGTTCTTATATGCATAAATAAATCAATCTTAAAATAAATAAAGTAAACAGGGTTGACCCACGTATACTCTCTATCCTGCAGGGCTGCCGCCCTGCTCAGCCCTCCTCCCATAGCTTGGAAGGACTCCAGACACAGGGAGGCTGCTTAAGCCTGCCACTCCACCCTCTACCCTGCACTGCAATTTCAGCAGTTGCCACTTCCTTTATCCACTTTGGGCTTCAAGAAAATCTAAAAAGGCTCATGTTGGAAACGTGTTGGGGAGGCCATCCTAGAGAAATTCCCTTAAAGTACAAGGCCCTTTGGCCAGCACAAGCCTGAAGCATTTTTTTCCCCTTTTTCCTGGCTGGCAGTTATTTTGCTCCAGTGTTGCTCAGGCCAACTTCAGTGATAAGTCCTAGCACTTATTCCCACAGGCTTGGGTTCAGAATCCAATAACACCAGCCTCTCTGTGGAGCTACACTGGTAGACCTATATGTCCCATCATTCCCTACCACCAAGGTACTCTTACCTTGCAGGTAATCTGAGAGGTTAAAGAATTATCCAGAGGTCAAATCTCATGCAGCAAGGAACTGGGAGGACCATCAGCCAGCACTCAGCAAATATTTATGGATTTAAGGCTGGGGTGCACTAGCTGATCATACAAAAAAACAGCTTCTTCACTACCATACTCTGATGAATTTGAGTCTATGAGACCAAAGTCCCCAAATGTCTGATATACTGGGGCTATACATGGTTAAGGGGAGAGGTTCTCCTTCAATGCACACCAACAGTCCCAACTCAGCCTGAGTAATATCGCTGCCTGTACCATCTCTTCCCTGTTCACTCTCAGAACCTGCCTGCATCACACCATTTATTTTACAAAAGTTCACTGAATATCATACCCATGCATCATGCCAGTTCAGAGGATGCCACCTCCTGCCTTTGAGGAAGATCCAGATAAATTTCTCTAGAAAAAAAAAAGAAAAGCAAGCCCACATGGAACAATAGGAAGTAGACCTAACCAGTGTATTCATTGGATGAATTAACATTTGCTACTATGTCCCACAGGCTTGTCCCTGTGCTAGGCACTGGAGGAAGATGATGGAGGCAAAATCCCTGTCTTTAAGAAGCTGACTTTGGAGTCTGGTCAAGGACTCAGCAGTAATTGGAAACAAATAGGCACACGGTAGGGGGGGGGGCCATCACACAAGTCCAGGACTGGATGGAGTGGCTCCCAGAGTCAGCAGGTGCCACGGCTAGAACACCTAAACAGACTCGACCCTGAGCAGGAGGCCATTTCTCCAGGGTTGCTTAGCGGCATTAGCTTGTAAGGTTAAACATTCCACATTAGGTGTTGTTCAGTCCACACAAGGAAACAACCCAAAAGAAGGTAGAAAGGAGAAGGGGAAGATTTCTTGTGAATTGCAGTCAGAGACAACCCATTTTTCTGTGTGCACTGTGGACCAAAATTCTCATTTAGGACCAAATTAGAAAGGACCAAATGCTCATTAAGTCTCTGAGTATGGGTTGTTAAAACATCTCTCACACCCCCACTAAATAACATTGTCTCCAAAATGGCAACCATCAAACAGATCCACTGCATTTGCTTTTGTTATCTGGATGATAAGTTAACAGGAACACATATTGAGAATGAAAAGGTTTGCTTTAAAATATCTTTTTGGTCTGATTACCTTTTACTCCCATTACTGCCCCCAAAACAATTCCTGGTGGTAACCTGCGGGCACCATTATTACCCTTCCCACCATTATTACCTTCCCCACGAGAAACTGAACCCTAAGAAACAGCATTCTGGTTTCGGTTCTTTAAGGAACAGCCAGTATAAAACCATGAAATATTCACTCCTGAGAACTATCCCATGTTCTGAGATGATGTCCTTCCTAAGTATTTGGTGTCAGATGAATCTTTTTCTTGTGACATGATGGCAGTAGTGAGACTGTTGCTATCAGCCCCTCATCTACCCCCGCATCCTCCCTACTTCCTGGCCACCCCCATAGTTGGGTCTTAAGTGTCTCCTTGGCAGGTTTCCCACTTGGGAACCTCTCCTCTTCCTCTCCCTCAGCCAGATGCTGGTGCCCTTGCCAAGTACAACTCTGGTCTTCTCCCTCCCCTACTCAGGAACCTCCCAGGAATCCCTACTTCCTCAGTCAGGATTCAGGGCTTTCCACATTTAGTGTAATCCAGTTTATTTCCCATTATTGACCTAGCACAGCGGTGCCACCCTACATTTAAATTGGCATTCCCAAGTTATTAGGGTTTCTTCCTTCTTTCCAGTTTCCCAACACCTCTGCCCCTTGAAGTCCTATCCATCCCTCTAATTCATGTCTTTCCTTCATTCAGAAAATTATCTTGAGCATATCTATGAACTGACCATAGAGGTGCTAGGCCTCACAGGGCTCTCAGCAGTCCAGCAGGGGAGAGAACTGAATGTGGAACCACAAGAGATGTTACAAAGGGGGAGGGCCCCAGCACCTTCCTGCGGGGGCTAGCTAGTCTGGGGTGGGGAGAGATCAGGGAAGACCTCTTAGATGCTACCAGTGTAGACATCCCTCTCTACCCACAGTTGGGCTTTTCCCAACTCCCCTTTAACTGCTGGGATCCCCTGCTGCTCTTCTCCAGAGGCAAGTGCTTTTCTTGATCCCGTTAGACTGTCACATGCAATCTCAGAGCCAGGAAGTACTGTAAAAATATTTGTTGACAATTAAGCCCATCATTGATTTAATTAGATCAATTGAATATTTGTTGGCAATTAAATCTTGACACTAAATCCCAGATTAGTTACCGTTTAAACCATCCGTGGTGATTACAGTTTGGTTTGATTGCTCCCTGGCTTCAGTGTCGTCATCTGAGTGGGTGGCCTTGTCATTAGTGTAATTAGCACCCTAGCTCATAGGAAACTGAAGGTCATACCCCAAACTATAATTAGAGGTTATCTAGCAGGGTTGGGACTACAAGACAGGTGTCCATGTTATGCTTTTTGTGCGTCTATAAAATTTTGAATTTCTCACAGCAAACTTACGCCGTCTTCATAATTAGAAAATCTAAATGTTTTTAGTACATTAAACAAACCAAAGAAAATATTTCCTATTCTCACTCCACTTTTTACCTTCTATGAGAGGGACATACATTTAAAGAAAAAAATAGTTATTTGAACAAAACCTCTGACTACCCAGACCCGCGGAGCTGGATGAGTAGGAAGGACTGAACAGAGTTCAGTTTGCCCATGTAAGAGGCAAAGGTGAAATCTAAGTGCTTTGAAGCCTAAGAAAAAGACTCTTCTTCAGGGTCTCTGCTGGCATAAGATAAACAGCCCAGGCATCATTACTATATTATGTATCCTGAAATCAGAGGAAGATGGGGAGCTGGATGAGACCCAGGCACTGAGCTTTGCCTCCCCCACAATTGTGCATTAGGTTTTCCTGATGTGGGGGTTGACGGGGGAGAACTCCTCTTCTGTAAGGTCAGCCTGACCTGGACTCCCTGGAAAGAATGAACACTCCCATCGCTGTACCCTCATCTGTCTGGATGACTGGGTGCAAGGCCAGCCCTCCCCCAAAGCATGCAGAAGGCTCCCGCACTCCCACACCCGCTAAGACCTCAGGCTAAGGACAAGCAGTGAGCCTTCCCTGATTTCTTTTTTTTTTTTTTTTTTAAGATTTATTTATTTATGCATACAAGAGCTGGGTACAGACCAGAGATGAGGGGGTGAGAGGATCCACCAGAGACAGAGTGGGGAACAGAACAGGCAGACTGAGTGAAATACACTGCTGAGGGGAGCAGCAGGCAAGACAGGAGAGGTCTGCCTCGCCATGTGGGTTTCTCCCTGACCGGCCGGGGATCGAACTCGTGCTGCAGAGGCTGCGGATTGCTTCATAGTGCAGTGCTTAACCCCTTGTGCCACCAGGGAAGCCCTTTCCCTGATTTCTTATAGTGAAATCTCTTGGCTGGCATTCACCCTGGAGATAACTCCCCAATGTAGCAGCCATGAGAGTCGAGTTGGTATGGAGGTGAGAGTTGTGCAAAGAGGACTCTTTTTTTTTTTTAAATAATAAATTTTATTTTTATATTCCCCATACAATTGCAACCCCCCATTCTGACCCCAATCCCTCCCCTCCCGCCCCCCATCCCCCAAAAAGTGTCTCTGGTTCATAGTTTTTTGTTGATTTTGATTTTCACTTTCTTATAGTTATTCATTTTCCTGGTCCCTTATTTAAGTTTTCTAGATTCCTGCTATGAGTGAGACCATCCGGTATTTTTCTTTTTCTTTCTGGCTTATTTCGCTGAGCATGATCCCTTCCAGCGCCATCCATGTTGCTGCAAATTGCATGTGTTTATCTTTTTTGAATGCTGAGTAATATTCCATGGTATATATGTACCACATCTTCTTGATCCAGTCATCTATTTTTGGGCATTTGGGCTGTTTCCAAAGCTTAGCTATTGTAAACAGTGCTGCTATAAACATAGGGGTGCAGGTGCTCTTTGGAATGGATGTTTCTGTGTCCTTTGGGTAAATACCTAGGAGTGGAATTGCTGGATCATATGGAAGCTCTATGTTTAGTAGGTCCAGAAATCTCCACACAGCTCTCCACAGTGGTTGGACCAGTTTGCACTCCCACCAACAGTGCAGAAGAGTTCCTTTTTCTCCACATCCTCGCCAACATTTGTTGTTGCTAGTTTTTTTAATATGTGCCATTCTCACTGGTGTAAGATGGTATCTCATTGTAGTTTTGATTTGCATTTCCCTGATTACAAGTGATGTTGAACATTTTTTCATATGCCTGTTGGCCATTTGCATTTCCTCTTCAGAGATGTTTCTTTTTAGCTCTTCTGCCCATTTTTTGACTGGATTATTTTCTTTGTTGTTGTTGAGTCTCATCAGCTCTTTGCAGATTTTTGTGATCAGTCCTTTATCATTAGTGTTGTGTGCAAAAATGTTCTTCCAGTTGGTGGGGTTTCTCTTTGTTTTTGTTATTGTCTCTTTTGCTGTGCAGAAGCTCAAAGAGAACTCTTGTCAGAGCTGTGGCCTTCAGTTGAGGGCTGTGTGTAGTCCAGAGTGACTTGGCAGGGAGGAAGCCAGAGGAATAACTTCTCAGACCCTCCATCCTGTTTCTAGATAAGTACTTACTGAATGTTAATAGCAGAAATAATTTGTTGTTTATCTGAAATTCAAGTTTAACTGGATGTTCTGTTTGATAAATCTGGTACAACCCTAAAAAGAGACCAACCTCCTCCCTGCAAACACACACACACTCAGCGTCCCTGGTGGTTGTGACATCCTGAGCATGGTAGGAGGCCCTTGAGCAGAGACAGGGTGCCTTTGTCTACCCCCAGTCACTAACCCACAAAATACCAGGCCAGTATCTCTCTCGCTTGCCTGTCTCACCACTCATGGTTAATGTGTTTGAATAAATAACAACCAGCATAGAATGTATGTTCTTAAAAGGTCATTGAGAAAGCTAAAAGCACAACTATATTTTTGGAAATACTGTGAGCCCAATGAAATCAAAACCACTCCAGGTCCTTTTCAGCAGGCAAGAATTTTGCTGGAAGTTCCAAATCATTCTACATTTGGTGACCTAAGCACGTGTTGATTTTATTACTCCAACACCTAGGGGTGGGACATTTGAGGCACAAGAATTATAAATGTGTCTCTTTCTGACTAATAGTAGCCTTTGAAAATAAACAGTCATGCATTGCTCAATAACAGGGATACCATCTGAGAAATATGCCATTAGGGAATTTTGTCTTTTTGCAAACATCTTTGTGGTTATGTGCACTAACCTAGATGGGGAGAGCCTACTACACACCTAGACTAGATGGTGGGGTTACAGGGCGACCATTGTATATGTGGTCTGTCACTGACTGGGACAAGTAATGCATGGCTGTAGCAGCCATGCATAGTCTTCTGACTGAGTTGATAGTGAGAAATGTGACCTCAGGCACCATCAC